CTTCACAAACTGCACTTGAGATGCTCACGTAAACTCTGATACTAACCCCTCCTTTGACTTCGGATTATATCGGTTTTAAACTTTTGGTGACCGATGATGGTGTGCTTCTTCCATGCTGACCTCTTAGTCGACATCTCACTTAGATGGCTGCTTATTTGGAGACAAGCCTTTAACCCAAGATGCTATTTTATCTGAAAGCTGGACACCATCTAAATGCTTCACCACCTTTTGCTATAGCACCTGTATCTTCTGTGTTCCCGTCCTGGGTGAGTATCAGGCAGCTTGATGATGTAAGAATGAATTGTTCTTAAGTTGGAGCTAGCATTTAGTGTAAGCCCAGGACCCATTTCTGAATCTGTGCTTTTTTTTTTCTTTTTCTTTTTAAAAAATATTTGCTGTTACTTGGAAGTTAATACATATGGAATATCATTCCATAGTTCAATCACATCAAGCAGAATTGTATGATTGGTTCCATAATTAGTCTCCAAACATACTTTTTCTTCCTGGACTGCTTGACAATGTTTCCCTTTTATCTCCCCCACTCCCCTCTGCTTCCTTCCTCTGAAACCCGTGTTCTATTTGCTGTCACTAGAGACTCATCAAACCTTCATTTACCCAAAACAGAAAAATAAATAACCCAACTTCAAGAGGGTGACCCCCAATGGCATAGCACCTCTGAGATATATCCTAATATGAACAGTCATAAACAAAATATAACAAAATGATTACCAGAATAATAGATATCGTAATACAGCATACAGGGTATTGATGTAGCCAGACCTTGTTTGTCCGCCAACCAACAGGACACCACTCATGGCACAGCTGTCTTCTGCTTCCTCAGACACCCTGTATTTTCCCACTTAGGTCCTCAGGTTACCAGTGTGTCTGAGGTAGAGTTCAATTCACCCAGTGGAGTTCCCACATGGGGTCTCACTGATGCAGCCTCTGGAGCATGCTGTGTGCCCTGAAGATCCAGGATTCAGTGTCCCAGAATTCCATGGCACCCCACCTGGTTTCCCAGGATACCCCCAGATGCGCCCAAGTTCAATGTTGCCCACCTGTTGCATACCACTAAAGACACTCCCCACCTAGTGTCCACAAAAGCATCCTCAGTCCCCTCTCCCCACACCTGGAGGTCAGCCCTCCCTCCGATCCCACCAACAGGTCTGCACCTGTGCTCCCCCAAACTTGACCATTCCCCTCTCTCCTCTTCCTTTTCCTGTCCTGCCCCTCCCAGCAGTAAGCCTCATCTCTCTGACAAGGCTGCTTCCTAAATGAGTAGCATTCTCATTTAAATGATGCTTTTCATACTTGGAATCCCCTGGATGGCACAAAGTCAAGCACTCAATGAGTCCTCAAAAGGTTGTTCAGTTCAAGTTTTACATTCCCTGCTCTACTAAAGAGAATATTAAAAAAACCCACTTTCCTGAAGGCTAAGTAATCCTTTTCTGAAAGGGCATAGCTGTTGAAAATACTGTAGAACATATAGTTCTACTCTGTAATTGTGATTTGGAATTCACTCGGTCAAAACTGGTGACAGTGAATCATATTTTATTTTCAAATGCTTTAAAAATAATTTCTATAATATTAGAAAATTTGCATTTCTTCTATATCTAAGAACGTTGTTGAGACATTTTATTGCTCTTGATAATCTTCTTAATAATCATCCTCAACTCACTGCCATCAAGTCAGTTCCCATTCATAATAACCCTACAGGGTGGAGGAGAACTGCCCCTTTGGCTTTCTGAGATTGTAAATGTTTATGGGAGTAGACTGCCTCATCTTTCTAGTGGCATAGTGGGTTAATTGTTGGGTTGCTAACCACAAAGCCAGCAGTTCAAAACCACCAGCCACTCGGAGAGAGAAAGATGAGGCTTTCTACTCTCATAAAAATTCACAGTTCAAAAACACACAGTTCCATCACTGTCCGACACCAATCCATAAGTCCTCCTCCATCTCACAAAACACACTATGACACCGACTGCAGGAGGAAAGTTGAATCAGTGAACGTGTAAGCATCTCGGTGCTGGCAGTGGACTCCACAGTGCTGCTCCAGCATCCAAGGCTGCATCGGGGTAGGTCCATGTGGCTTCTCCTCGGGGATGTCTTGCAGGAAGTGAGCCTTGCCAGCTGAAGCAGGGAACTGACTAAGGCAGATGCACCCTGGTCCGACCACCAGACAGCAAGAGACCCAAGAATCCGAAAGGCAAGGCTCACAGAGCCATTTATCTCTCTGCCCTTCAATTAACCCCACATGTGTTTATCAGCCAGGTTGGCACAATAAACCTTAACTATATCAGTGGTGATGTCATCAAATGCTGGGATCTGATTTGATAAACCAATAATAGAATTATGGGTGAGATGCAAAATCCCTAATTTCAATGCCGCTCTGATCCTGAGTAATGGTAATTTTCCTAAGGTGTGGCCTACAATATCTTTTATTTTACAAGCTACAATAGGTGGTTGTTGTTGTTGTTGTTCATTGTCATTGAGTCCATTTCAATCCATAAGGAACTTAAGCACAACATATAGAACCACTACACAGCGCTGTGCCGTCCTCTCCATCATTCCCACCCCTGAGCCCACTGTTAAGCACTGTGTCAATCAATCTCTTGAGGACTTTCCTTTTTTCTGCTGTCCCTGCACTTTAACAACCATGATGCCCTTCTCCAGGGACTAGCCTCTCCTGAAGAAAAGTCCAAAGTATGGGTGGCGAAGTCTTGCCATCCTTGCCTCCAAGGAGCACTCTGGCCTTACTTCTCCCAAGAAAGATGTGTGGTCCTTTAGCAGTCTATGGTACTTTTGATGTTCTTCTCCAGCACCACAATCCAAATGCATCGATTCTGTTTCAGTTTTCTTTATTTCATGTCCAACTTTCAAATGCCTATGAGGCAATTGAAAGTACCATGGCTTGGGTCAGGCGCACCTTAGTCTTCAAAGAACATCCTTGCTTTCCAATGCTCTGAAGAGATCTTATGCAGCAGATTTACCTAGATAAAACTCTAGATAAAAGGAGAGGGAAGTAAACCAAGAGAGGGGGGCCTACTGCTACCAAGAAAGGGTGCCTTCTTTTGACCCGGGGGATCAGCGTTGTTAAATTCCTAGAACTAGGAGAAGATGGAGCCAAGACACATGAAGATGTGTAAGAAACACTGGGCCTACAGATCTGAATAGAGACAGGCCAATTTCCGAGAACAGACAGACAGAAAGCCTTATCCTGGGGCCAGCGCTTTGAATTTGGACTTTTTTGTTTCATGAACTGAGAGAATAAATTGTGAAATTCATCCATTTGTGGTATGTCTGTCGTAGCACCACTAGAGAACTAAGATAGTACTTAACTGGACAAGCACATTTTAAACAATAGTTTAGACAAACATGTGCTAAATCACATTTTCAAGCGAATATAATCAAGTTCCCCTACTTCCTTATACTCTATAGCTCATGTTTTATGATGGAATGTTTTTTTAAAAATCTATAGTTCAGGGACTGTCCAATTTCCCCAATGTTTAATGTTCTAAAACATGGAAATTTCAAAAGGGGACTAGATTTCAGAGGAAATGAGTTGGTGAGGAACTGAAAGAAATATATATATATATAATTATCTTTATAATATACTTTTCATGTGCCCAGAACTATATGGAATCTTATGGTAAATCCTGAAGAGGTATAAAATGCCCATACCTGCCCCCGAGGAGGCTGTTTTCAATCAGTTGCATATACATACATACATATATATATATATGGCATATATAGGTGGAAGAACCAAGAAATGGTTCAAGGTGTGGACTTAAGTAATGCAATGTCCTTTCCTCCTAAATACACTATATTATGATTTCTTTATTGTTGCATGGGACTCGTCGCTACAGTTGAAAATATGTTATTTGCTTTTCAGCTGGGAATTGACTTGGATTGGAATCACAATTTAGATGTTTGCATCGATATCGTCATCATCATCATCATCATCATCATCATCATCATCATCATCACGATCATCTTCCCTAAGCACCTGGGTGTGTCAGTTTTAGGAGCAGTACTAGACATTATGTTAAATGTGTTTAAATGAATGCGGTGAATCCCCAATGAATACCCAAACTTAATGAGATAATACTAATTAGATAGGCAGACATAGGTGCAGGGACAACAAATATTAGCATTTTCAAGTAATTCCTTTCTCTATAGTTCCAGTGGCAATAGAATTTTCCTACTGGCCATAAAGACGAATCTTCTAGCCTGAGAGGACTATGCTTCAGAAGCCTATTGATGGAAGAGGAATAGCTGTCCTTACTGCTAATAGTTTCCTGCCAGTCATAAACTGATGGTTGATAGACATACAGTCATCTTAAAGACAAATCATCCTGGAAATCTGTTTGTCTAGGAATATACATTTACTGTTTAATGTGAAGCAAAACCCTTCACAACTAATATGTGTGTGTGTAGATACATATATGACAACTAAGGAAGTATAACGGTCTATAAGTGCTCTTCTTCGGGCAGTCAATCTCAGTAGCAGATCGGCCAGGCCTAGTCCAGAGATTCCACGCTCCCACCCTGCCGCGACCTTTGGAGAATCGCGGCTTCAATGAAATCCCTTCAGCTTGCTGGGTATGATGAGTTCCTCTGGTATGTTGGCTGAGATACTAATATCCACCCACCATATAACAGGTTCCTGGCACACTTTTTACAGCCTGTCCAATAAGTAGACTCCAAATGAATATCTTTCCAGGGAGTTTTCCCTGATTAGTCCTAGTCACATAGAGCCAATGACTTGAAGAGCCTGTATCTGAACCCCCATCTGTTTGTCACTCTAAAGCATGTGCTAATGTCTCTGAACCAGGAGGATGTGCATCCTCCCATCCAAGAGTTCCTCTTTACTTTTGGAGCCATTGCAAACTTTGTTGACTCCTAACACTTGTACCACTTGTAAACTTATGTTTCTTTGATTGGTTTTTATGTAGAAATAATGATAAGGTGTTTTGTCTCTTTGCTTTTTTGCTTTGAAGGAATAACCACTGTCCTCACCATGACTACACTGAGCATCAGTGCAAGACATTCTTTGCCCAAAGTGTCCTATGCCACTGCCATGGATTGGTTCATAGCTGTTTGCTTTGCTTTTGTATTTTCGGCCCTCATTGAGTTTGCTGCTGTCAACTATTTCACCAATATTCAAATGGAGAAAGCCAAAAGGAAGACATCGAAACCTCTCCAGGAAATTGCAGCTCTTCCAGTGCTGAGAGGAAAGCATCCAGAAGCCTCTCTGCAGGTATTTGATTTAATCTCTATCAGTGTAAGAGTTCAACTTCGTGTTCACGGCAATAAGTCATTTCAGGTTCTGAGAAAATATTAAAAAACAATTATGTATCTAAACCTCTAAACTAATTATTTTCATTTCTGGTTGTTGTTGGGTCCATTCAGATTCCTGGTGTCTGCAGGTACAATTAATGGCTTAACAATTAAATAGCACGGAATGAGATAAATGGAAATGGAGCTAGTGCTTTGAAAGTGACTTTCAGAATTAAAAGTGTTTACCCAAAACGGGCAAAATATTCTGTTTAGTCTTAAAAGGAGATGATGGGAGCCTTTGAGTAAGTTGGAAAGACATTTTAGCAGTGTTCATTGGAAAAAGTCAATGTTGATTTCCGACTTACCCTGTGGATTAGGTGAGGCCTCTGCTCTTACATTACTGACTAAATAAAGGAATAAGAAGGCCCATAGAAGATATACTGGGTCTGAAAATCCCCACCATAAAGAGACAGAACGGAACGATGAGGAAGCAGAAAGCCAGATCAGAGCAACGGTAGTTGACATCAGGAGTCCTGGTGGTGTGGGTTACACGCTGGGCTGTTAACTGTGAAGTTAGCTGTTTGAAACCACCAGCCTGTCTGCAGGGGAAAGTTCTACTCCCATAAAGTGTGAAACTAAACAATATCAAACTCATTGCCATCGAATCCATGCTGACTCCTAGTGACCCTATAGAACAAAGTTGTAGCGTTGCAGAGACTACAGGAGCAGAAAGCCCCCTTTCTCCCACAGAACCACCGATGGTTTCAAACTGCCAATCTTGCAGCCCATGCCCCAACGCATAGCCACTGAACTACCCCGGAAGAAATACATGGGCAATTTTACCCTGTCCTATAGGGTTGTTATGATTAGAATTGACTAGATGACAGTTTTTCCCTTTGGCATTTTACATTCACCACGTCAGTGGTACACTTGGCATACTGTGATTTTAAGTACAAACACAAAATTTCAACGTTGCCTCTTTCTTCATAGATTTCAACTGCAAGAAAAGTATCAGGAAGGGAAAAGTAAACAGGCAGTCTCTCTCCATCTCGCTCTGTTTCTATTTTTTCTCCCTCTCTCATCGTTTTCCCCTCCACCTTCTCCATCTCTTTCTCCATCTCAATCCATTACACGTCTTTCTGCAATCCATAGTCACTTACACAAAACCAATCGTTGCTGCCATAATTGGCAAACTCAGATCCCTGGTGTCTATGTACAGAAGTCGTGGTAAAAAAGAATCAACCACTCTGGACATGACCCCTGATTTCCTCCCACATTCCCGTATTTAACAAATGGGTAGTTAATGCTAACTCTATTCCAGACCTTGTTTAATGGCTGGGAATGAAAAGTATAATAAATAGTATGTCTTCCCCTCCTCCCACTCCTAACCTCCTAACTTCATCGCTGCCCCTCACCCCCCACCCCACCCCCCAAAAAAGACAGATATCTTTGCCATGCAGAGCTTACATTTGTGTGTGTGTGTGTGTGTGTGTGTGCATATGTGTCACAGACAGGCAATAAAAGAAATTTTAAGATAGATGTTTTGTTGATTGAGAGAGTGTGACGAGAGTGGGAAGGCACTGAAAGGGGGAGGCGCTCTGGACCGGTGGCTGGGATGGGATTCACATTAGCGCTGGTCACGAAAGTCCCGGCTGTGGGTTGTGCTCCTGGTCAGAGTAATAGTGGACTCCCATAAATCTTCCCCTGCAGGCCTCTGGAGGCAGGCTGTCTAAGAAAAGCTTGTGAGTTGGTAGAAAATGATTGGTTTTCACTAAGTATATTTGCATAGCTCATAGTTTTCAATAAGAGCATCCATTTCATCAAGATGTTGAAATTATTAGAACAGACTTTCTTCAGTTTGATAAAACATACAGAGGTTACCTTTAGCATTTCCATAAGTGAATTTATGTCCTCTGTGCCTTTCAGTCTATTTCTTTGCTTTGTGTGCAGAAAGAGCCATGGTGGCAAAGCGATTATGAAGTGAGGTGCTGAGTGCACAGTCAGCAGTTCAAAACCACAGGCCGCTCCGCGGGAGAACCACGGGGCTTTCTACTTCTGTAAAGAGTGACAGTCTCAGGAACCCACAGGGACAGTTCTACCCTGTCCTATCTATGAGTTGGAATCACAGAAAGTTTGGTTTGATTTACTGGTCCACTTGCATTGAGTGACTGAGTAAATTTACTGTTTCTAGTTTTGTAGTTTATATTTTGACTTGTAGTTTATATTTTTCCTGGGAATAAATTTTAATACTCTTTTTTTAGCTTCTTAAATTTAATTGCTATTGGTTGGTTTTAACTTTTTAAGACTTAATAATAAAGTACTTTATTGCAAAGAGATGTCTATTGCCTAAAATTTTGGCCAGAACTCATAACTTTTATCTGTAACAGCATAACCATGATTATTTGCTAAATCTTTTATAACTATGTTACTCTCTTCTCCGTGTTCTATGAATTATGTGGCACATATTAAAATTCTCAAGTTAGATTTTTATTATTACTTTTCACTTACTTAGTGTTTAATATGCAGTTGTGTTGGGGTCAGAAAAATGTTACTTATAAAGTTTTGCTTGACACTGATATTTGCACTGTTCCCGGAGCTTTGCCAACAGCTTGTACATCTTTGGTGATCGTTTGAAATAAGTTAAATTTGATTTAAGTCAATTTTATGTGTAATAATAGCTCAGTGTTTTTATAAGTCACCTTTTACCTCCTTGATTTTCAGAAGTCCAAAAATGATCTGAAAATTTCCCCACAAATTTGTTGTTTTGTTTTGTTACATTTTAACTACTTAGTACATTTTTATGTTATAACTTTCAACTTATAAAGATACAGCTGTTGTATTTTCATATTGGGTTATATATTTCACTATACAATGAATTTTTTAAACATAATTTTTCTCTTGAATTCTATTTGGTCTGATTTTAATTCTTTAGCATTAATTCTAAATATTTTTATATTATCTTATTCTATATTCTATATTAATTCTAAATACAAGATGCTAATACATATTTTATATTGCTAATGTTTTCCTTACCCTTTTGTGTTAGACAGGGTTCTCTAGAGAGATAAAACCAAATTGCTGCTAATTTAATATGTTTATTTATAAAGATATTTAGATATATAACAAGAAATGAACTGTTAAATCATTTACAGATAAATATATAATACAAGAAATAAACAGTTAAATTATAAAACACTACAAATGGCTCAAGGCAACTCACTCCTGTGAGAGAGAGTTGTGAGAGACTAGCAGTCTTTCAAGTCCAGTCTGCTGCCAGATCTTCCTCTATTTATAGAGAGAGCTAGGCTATGTAGGCAGGTCACCAACTGCCAGTCCCCAGCTCCAGAGATGTCTTAAAGGGACCTCAACTTACAGCGACACAGTCCGCAGGCTAGGCATCCCACAGATAGTGTAGCCTTTAAATTGAGGCACAGAACAAGCAAGGCAGCCGCACATTGGTCCGATGATCAAAGAGCGAATGACAAGAAAGGCGAGGCTCACCAAGCCATTTATCTCTCTGCCCTTCAGTTAATCCCACTTGTGTTTATAGGCCAGGCTGGCACAATAAACTATCTCACCTTTCTTTCCTCATATACATTGAAAGCTATAGATCATGTTTGTATGCTTGCGAGTGGTTAATTTTATGTTTTTACACAATGTGTTTTGACTTTTGTTTTTCTAACCAAATATATATGTATATCGGAAGGATCTCTTAGCCCAAAGATTTCAGACTTGGAGACAAACATTCTCTTGTGTGTATAACAGTTTGATATGAATTCTTTTCCTTTTTGCAAAATGATCCATCTCCTGTCACTTTGAACTAGTGTTGTAATGGAATATTACCAATACTTGAAACTACCACTTAAACAGAACACACCATTTTGAAGACTATCCAAAGATGGAACTCAAACTGATCATCTTTCATTTGCTTCCAGAAACAGGTCTCTTGACTATAGCAATTGCTGTCATTTGGTTGAACACATCCAATTGACTAATCCCACTCTGATTCAGTAATTCCGCTTGTCAGCAAAGGCCACATGCCGTGTGCAGATAGCATAGCCACAGTTAGAAGTGAAGTGTGCTTGTCCAGGGCATAAAATCATAGCATTTAAGGGTTGCAAAGGACTTTCAGGTAAATCTGGTCAAAATATGCATCATGCGCTTCATGTCCTCTGTCCTGTGTGTGTATGCATATGAGATAACTTAGAGCTCTAGCAGTGGAAAGATAGCTGTGTTCCAAAGACAGTGATTAACGGGTTGGTCCACCCATCCTGCTTGACTTCAGACCCTCGCCAGAATGCAGCTGGCCGCGGAGTGGCAGTTGTTATTGGATGGCTTCAGTGTAAGCTCAGCATTGAGAACAAATGAAAATTGAGGGAGATAGAAAAATAAGAAGTTAAAGAAGAAGGAAGAGCATTTATGGGCAGTATTTAAAATATAGGTATTACTTCAAAGACATATTCTATGATTCATGTAAAACTTGGCATTATAGAAGAGATTCTAATCAGAAAGATTAAATGTGTTTGTTCACATCTGCATTCTATCTTGTGTGGCTATTTATTTACCTTTTCCAGTAATAAGGCCTCAGCTTAAAATGGGTCTGGAAATCTTCATTTGGAAATTCCTTCAGAGATGACAGGACATTTGGGAGTGTAATAGGCCTTTGGGTAAGCTCACTAATGGCTTGATGAATTTTCACCACAGGTGACATATGGACTGCTAATAGCTTGGCGGTCTTGAAAGGACCATGTTTATTCTTTGGGAACTGGGAAGCTTATAGTTTATATAATATTCCAGAGGGCAGGAGAAAGGCTGATTGGCAGAATCTCAGAGCAGCTATCGCCAGTTTGGTACCTCTTTGGACATTGTCCAAGGTAAAGTAGCTCGTTTCGTTCCTTTCCATCAGTGCCTTGATACTGCCTCTGATTTTGTCCTTCCAGTATATGCGGTGATCTCCCTCCCTTCCCTCCCGTACTCTGAGATTCACAGAGTAAGGAGATTTAAAACAGTAGTCTAAAAAACAGATAATTATAGAGTAAAAATGAATAAAAGGGAAGGTCTACT